GGTCGTCAGTCACCTGTCATGGGACCCAACTGGCGGAAACGTTTGACATGCCATAGACATCAGTCAGAATTGCCTGAACTGAACCAAAGCTTATACACACTTCCCTTGCTTTGCTGCGCAGGTCTCGCCTTCTGTCGACATGACCAGATCGTGCACAACTTCGGCAGTTTCATCGTTCGTGGCCTCTTTTTGCCGCCCAGGCCGCTCATAATCTCCAATGCTCTCCCTGTCCCTCTGAAATTCAGCAGCCTATTTTGTCACAGTGATATAGGAAGGGAACTCATTCCCAAGTGTATCCATGAAGTCTTCATGGATTTCCTTGAGGGACATCCCTTTCTTAAAGGGGTACGTAATGACGGCTCTGATTTCAACTTTCTCCAGTTGGTCTAAATGACACACACATCTACTGATCAAAGTGTACTGATCATGTTACTTTATCTGTGTAACACCGCGTGTACTAGTAACTCGGTCAGTAATCTTCAATAAGATATCGGTATCGATGTATTGTATGTAAATGTCAGTGTAGTGGCTAGAAGTTTATCGGCCGAAAACGTTATGATCATACCTCGTAAAGTGAACTTGAAAAATCTTTTTGTTAAAAGCCACAACTCTAATTTCAACCAAACTTGCCAGGATTGTTCCTATGATAAATGGCATCCAACTTTGTGTAAAGAATTTCATTCCATGCTGGAATCTGTTTGCTATGTGACCAATACAAATTATAAGAAAAAAGTCTTCTTCAAAGGACCTTAAAGGCCTAGAGCAAAAGTATAATACATACGGCATTATCGGTGGACCTCTAACAAGATTGTTCAAATTATAGCCCTTGGGTCAAAATTGGCCACACCCTGGAGTTCATGTTTTTTCTTCTTATGTATAAAGAGGAAATTTTCAAAACAGTTTAAGTCAAAACTACAAGGATAAGAGCTCAGATATTTAGCTTGAAACATTGTCAAATGACGTCTATTAACATTATTCAAATTATAGCTTGGTGTAAAAAATGCTCCGCCTCAGGGTGTCATTGATTTTGCTTATATGTATCTTGCAAAAGCATTAGTTAAGGTAACTCTACAAAATCCTTTCAAATTATAGCCTTTCGGTCAAAATTGACCCCGCTTTGGGATGGTCTTACATGCAATGGTCTTACTTTTTAATATAATCGCCCTCTACATCAATGCACTTTGCCCACCTGTGCACAACTTGTTTAACCCTTTACCTCATATATACGCGAAACAACGCACTTTCGAGCCCCCCACCCTTTTTTAGGCCTCAAATAGTGAAAAATGTCCTATTTGGGCCCCAACCACTTGTTTTCGTTTTAGAATGTTGCTAAAAAATTTGAGCGCTTTTTCGGCGCCGGCCCCCGTCCAAAAGATACATCAGGGGGTTGTCAGAAGGGAGATGTGCCCCCTTCTGTTAGGGGGGTTTGAAGTGGGGCGGAGTACCCCTCATCGCAGAGAAAATTTTGGACTTGTGAGAGGATAAAAATGGCCCCAGGTCGATCATAATGTAACGTGTAACCAACGCTGAAAAGCCTTTGACTCTATCTCAATCCCTTGAGAAGCAGCACTTTGAAATAAATTCTGATGGAAAAAATCGAGGCAAAATAGTGATTTTTGGCAATTTTGAGATGTCCCCTCGTTGCCATGGTAACAGGAAATTTAAGACTGAGCATGTCGATATAAAGACAATGGTCCAGTCAACATTTGTGCCAAGTTTGATTAGTATTGAATCCTTTTTCATAGTTTCATAGCAGTTTGAACTTGTAACAGGAGGGTTTTCAGTGAAAACGGCCATTTTTCACAATATGCTCATGGGGGAAAGGGTTAACCCTTCAAAACAGAACTCTCTATTTTGATCCTCAAAGAACTCATTGACCGCCTCCATGACACATTTATTGCTTCCAAAACGTCTACCACGAACCTTTGTTTTCTGTTTCGGAAACAAGTAGATGTCAGAAGAGGCAAGTCCAAAGAATATGAGGAATGGGGAAGAATTTCAAAGTCACAGTCAGTTGCAGCAGCCATCGCAACTTGGGATGTGTGAGCTGGCGCATTGTCGTGCAGGAACGCCTTGAGCTAGTTTGCCCCTCGTTTTGCGCGCAATTTCTTAACGCAGACGTCTCAATTTTGCTACAAAGTACTTACCGTTTATGGTACGACCTTGCTTAAGTTAGTCAATCATGATTATCCATTGACTATCCCAAAAGAATTGAAGCCATCATATTCCCTGCAAATGACACCCTCTTGAATTTCTTCGGAGGGGATGAGCAGGGTGCTTCAACAGCATGCTCTGGGGTCTGGATCGAAGTGATGGACCCATTGTCATCCTGATTTACGACCCGATAGATTAAATCAGATTCATTCTCGTAGCGAGAAAAAAAAATATCTTAAAATGTCAAACCTGGTCCGTTTCTGGTCGTCAGTCATCTGTCATGGGACCCAACTGGCGGAAACGTTTGACATGCCATAGACATCAGTCAGAATTGCCTGAACTGAACCAAAGCTTATACACACTTCCCTTGCTTTGCTGCGCAGGTTTCGCCTTCTGTCGACATGACCAGATCGTGCACAACTTCGGCAGTTTCATCGTTCGTGGCCTCTTTTTGCCGCCCAGGCCGCTCATAATCTCCAATGCTCTCCCTGTCCCTCTGAAATTCAGCAGCCTATTTTGTCACAGTGATATAGGAAGGGAACTCATTCCCAAGTGTATCCATGAAGTCTTCATGGATTTCCTTGAGGGACATCCCTTTCTTAAAGGGGTACGTAATGACGGCTCTGATTTAAACTTCTCCATTTGGTCTAAATGACACACACATCTACTGATCAAAGTGTACTGATCATGTTACTTTATCTGTGTAACACCGCGTGTACTAGTAACTCGGTCAGTAATCTTCAATAAGATATCGGTATCGATGTATTGTATGTAAATATCAGTGTAGTGGCTAGAAGTTTATCGGCCGAAAACGTTATGATCATACCTCGTAAAGTGAACTTGAAAAATCTTTTTGTTAAAAGCCACAACTCTAATTTCAACCAAACTTGCCAGGATTGTTCCTATGATAAATGGCTTCCAACTTTGTGTAAAGAATTTCATTCCATGCTGGAATCTGTTTGCTATGATAACCAATACAAATTATAAGAAAAATGTCTTCTTCAAAGGACCTAAAAGGCCTAGAGCAAAGATATAATACATACGGTATTATCGGTGGACCTCTAACAAGATTGTTCAAATTATAGCCCTTGGGTCAAAATTGGCCACACCCTGGAGTTCATGTTTTTTCTTCTTATGTATAAAGTAGAAATTTTCAAAACAGTTTAAGTCAAAACTACAAGGATAAGAGCTCAGATATTTAGCTTGAAAAATTGTCAAGTGACGTCTATTAACATTATTCAAATTATAGCTTGGGGTAAAAAATGCTCCGCCTCAGGGGGTCATTGAATTTGCTTATATGTATCTTGCAAAATCATTAGTTAAGGTAACTCTACAAAATCCCTTCAAATTATATCCTTTTGGTCAAAATTGACCACGCTTTGGGGGAACATAGATTTTTCATTTGTGTATAAAGTAAACAATATTTTCTAAAAATTTAGGAGCTAAATTTAGACCCTTACTAAGTTTGTTTAAATAATTCCCCTTGGGTCAGAGTTGCCCATTGACATTCCATGTGGCCATTGACATTCCATGCAACCAGTGACTTTCATTAGCTAACAGTTCCTTTCCATGTCAACCATTAAATTTCCATAGCAACCATTGACTTATATAGCAACCATTGACTTTAAATAGCAACCAGGTGTATTTCCTTAGCAAACATAGACTTCCATATCAACCAGTGACTTTCCATAGCAACGGGTGACATCGAAAGCAACCAACTACTTTTCATGTTTTCAGAAATAGGAAATGCTTAATTGTCCCCCGCCTTTTTGAAGTAAAAAGGGAATATAGAAATAGGCTCCGTCCGTCTGTCCGTCCTCACTCACAGGACAGTAATTATGTGACTAGAGGGACAATAGGTAACTGTTCTTTCTCTTTGATGTCATTCATTCCGTAATGCTTTTATGTGGCTATTTTCTTTTGTGTGACTAAAAAGAACAATAGAGAGTACAATAGAGTAGCCACATAATTACTGTCCTATGAGAACTTCCGTCTTTCCGTCCGTCTGTCCAGCCGTCCTTACATTTGTATTCTTGTAAGGTATTTTACTGAGTAATAAAGTACCCAGCAATACATCAATTTTCATTAAAAATACCCAACAACACATACGGAATAGGTAGGATTGGTAATTGTTGGGTATTTAGTACCCAATATATACTCTCTCGTGCGCTCGGACAGACGGACGGAGCCTATTTCTATATCCCCCTTCGAAAAGGCGGGGGACAAAAATTATTTTAGAAAAATAACTGTACATGTCAACAACAGTTGTATACAGTAAATACAAAAAAAAAAAAATAAAGTAAGAATATATTTAATATGAATCAATATTTATAAAATGGCCTTTCAAAATTAAAAAAAAAACAACAAAACAGTTCATGTTAAATGTTGAATTCTGCTTAAGCCCCTGCTAGAGGCGCGGAACGTCACTTGCGCTTACCAGTACCGTCGCTGAAACGTGCTCAATCAAACCGAGTCTGCAACATTTTCAATTTTTTTGTTTTTGGGCGTTCTTTAGGTATTAGACACATGTGCACATGGACCTTTCCAGTGTTTACAGTTTTATGTAAATTGGCTAACTTGTTATCCAATTGCTACACTGAGATTATACATAGTCACTGGTTGACCTGGTTTGCACATAAGAACACATGGTTATGTTTGTGATACTGTTTGTGAGCAGTTGACCTAACAATGAATAGCATTATTGCAAAGTTCAATTGTATTTGTTCCTACTATTTAATGTTGTATTAATACGGTGGCATAACCATTTTTAACAAATGCAATCTTATTTTGCCTCTTAGAAATATAAAGATAAAAATATGATAAGGTTTATTTATCATTGCTTTCAGATTGTAAAGATACTAGAAAGAAATAAAGGAGAATTAGAATGTAAACGTCAGAAGTTAATGAGCCATTTAGATCACGTCAAAGGGAAACAAGGTATTCAGGTTAATGACATACTTTAAGAGAAATCATTCCGTACTAGATTTATTTTTTCATTAAATTTTTAGTAGGATGGTTGAATAATTCTAGCTTATTCTGTTGTCGGTTGTCGATCATTCCATTCTTAAAAATAAGTGAAAATCATCCAACTGTGAAACTTTATGCCTTACCTCCGCTTTGAAGAGTATTCAGTTACGCCTTTAGAACTGTCAACTGCATTGAAACTGGGGGTCGCGGGTCCAAACACAAAAAGGGTTAACTATTTTTCTTTCTTCTTTTGTTTTTGTATTTCTTGAAAGAAAGTGTTTTAATTTATGGTACTTGATATTTCCGAAGTCTTATTAAATTAAAACTACTAAAGGTTTTCAATATTTTACAAGATCAACCAATATCCTTTTGAGAAAATTTGAGCAAACTTAAAAAAAAACAGTTCCTCATTTTGGTAAATTTTAGGGATATTTTGAATTAGGATATCGAAGAAGGAAAAGGGCAAAGAAGTGGTTAAAATGGGTTGGGTAGGATAACACTTTTATGCATATTTCAAAAAAATTAATGGTTTTTATTTATTTCTTAACAATTATCAATAGGAAAGCCTTTTTTAAGAATGAAATCATTGATTCCTTGGAGTTTCCTCTAAGGAAACTGATATTGCATTATAAGCAAATGTCACAAAAAAACGTATCATTGTAAATGATTGTACTATCGTATGTCAACCCTCACTGTTGTCGCATGGATGTGACCCAATCTTTTTCATAACATTGGGGTTTTGACATTTTAACAAGCTCGAAGGCGATGGTTTGTGGCACTGTACTAAAACATTTTATAAGGCGCGGTTCATTTCACCCCGTATGGCTTCTATCATATCACATTTAAGTCTAAATATTTTAGTGATATTTCATTCCGTTGATGTTGTTTATAAATATTCAGAAAGATTGTTAGCCCTCTGGCCGCTTGCTTGCAAAACATCCCATAGAAACTGCAATCATATGTTGTTCTTTAGATAAAACCACTATTTGAATGTCATTGTATTGACTATGTCAGGCTGTGCAATTACATATTGCTAGTAGTAACAGCATTCTTCCTGAAGGCCGTTGTGGAGTGCAACAGACCATCTCCCAGTAACGAGCCAAGATTTCGTAAGAATAAAATCTATCCCAGAATTAAATGTACAGCGATAAATCAAAGTACCATGTTGTTATCAAAGTCAACGTTAACATACATTGGTTTAGAATAGAAATCACAGATGTAGTCATTTTGCGGAATTTACATTTTACGAAAATTCCCATTTATTGGGCGTGTGTATACAATTTGTGTTCATAATGAAATTAAATAAATGGAACATCATACCATGTTTCTTAAGTGTATATATTGAAAATTTGAACACGATAGGGTTAATATTGACTCACATTTTAAGATATCTATCTATACATGCAGACTTATAAAAGATTTGTTAAATGTACACCCCGGTTATACAAATCATTTCTGATGACTTATTTTTAAAAACGCACCGCCGTTGCCTATAATTGAAATATGCCCCTCGTAGAATAGAATGCTAGAGAATCTTGGGTTTATGCTAACACAAAAGTTGATATAGATTATGGCTAATGAAATAGGATATGTTGGTTTGTATTTCACTAATCGCGTATGTCTATATAGCAGAGGACAAGGCGATTAAAGCTGAAAAAGAATTTAATCATATTGTCAGCTCAATAAATGATTTAGGATAAATATTCAAAATTGGATGTCAAAATATTCGTCAAATGTAAAAAAAATATGGATTATATTCATTTTTAAAAGGATTATTCACCTGCAAAATATGTTTAATATCTAAATATTGAAAACATTTAGAAGTGTCTTAGCAAATTTTCAGTATTCAACATAGTGTTACTCTATTTTAATATAAGACACATGTACATAAGTGAATTTTTCTGGAAATATCCTTCAAATATAATATATTAAGATTTGATGTCATCTGAACATATTGATACTATTTAGAAATTAGCAATTATTCTAGATATAGCGCTTAACGAACACGATCAATTTTTCTCTCTGTTTGAATAGTTAGTATACTATTTCTATGATAAATGCTTTCATTTTATTCTACATATATTTATTATATCTTAAACATGTCTGTTTATTATTATCCATAGATGTATCTTCTAAAACATGTCTACCAAATGTGTTCAAATCAAAGCACTGGGGACAAAATTGGTCACGCACCAGGGAATCATTGATTTTCCTAATATGTATAAAGTAAAACAATATAATTCTATTGTACGAAAGAGACTATTGCTAAGATATTTGGTTTGAAACATTGTCTGGTGGACCTCTACTTAAGTGTTTAAATCGTAACCCTTGGATCAAAATTTGCTCCGCCAACATAGATTTTCCTTATTTGTAAATATAAAAAACTTATAAAAATCTTCTCTAAAACTACAAGAGCTTAAGCTTATTTTTTACATGAAACTTTATCTAGTAGACATCAACTTAGTTTGTTCAAATTATAGCCATTTGGTCAAAATGGGCCTTGTCCCAAGGGGTCATGCCTTTTTTCTCATACACTTGTATATTTACTTATATAAAATACTCTTCTTGAAAACTGCAAGGAGTTTATCTCAGTGAATTAACGAATTGAATGTCATAGCAGGCACTGACTTGAAAGGAAACTATTGATTTTGTACAGCGATCACACGTGCACTACTTAAAGTTATTGTTACACATTTTTGTCATTGTTTTATTTCATAAATATGATGCTCAAATTAAGGTTTGTCAATATTGTAAGTTCCAATAAGCATTATTTATAAAGATATTACCGAATTTAACATTTCATGTAAATAAAGGAAGGTAATTAGAAATTTATTTTTTATAAATTCTAAGTCAAATTTTCCAATTAGAAATGAATGCATATAAGTTATTTATTAAATATAATGTGCACAAATATTTGCAGTACACATTTTACATATTATTCGATGTTTGAAAATTGTTTGATTTGCATAATTATATACAAATATAAATTTTTGCAAGTGTGGTATACACACATTAAAAATATCAATCACAAAACATACAGGATCTTTAAGATTCTATTATGAACATTGTGAGTTCAGTTTCAGATTTAGATTTTTATCTGTATTTGCTTCTGGTTTACCATTTTACTTATTTCTTGTCATCAATAGTTTTTATAATCAGGTGATCGATATTAGGGCAGTCATTGTCTCTCTTAATTCTTTTAATTATGACCAATAATATCTTATAATTACCCTTCATCAACAAAATCTTGCAAATCTATATAGATCCAATAATTGACCTGCTTTGCTTTATTGTGATTTTGTTTTTCATTTCACAAATGTTCATGTTATGTACAATTTACGGATACGAATGACTTGTTATATCATGTTGAATGTTTGTTTTGTACACAAACTGCGTTCCACATGAATATTTTTAAATGAAAACTATATCATTTCAGATGCAACAAAAAATCAAGCTCAAGACGAACATATATTAGAGGTAGACATATTATATGATTTTTGTTTGTCTTTCTATAAACAAAAGATTTTTAAATGCTATGTAAATGCACTTCTAAGTAAATGGGAAATGACTTTGAAATGATTCATCTAAAAAAACTTAAAGATATATTCAGCGCAGAAATTAAGTTAATTTTAAAAATTGATGTTTCTTAACTAACAACAGAACGCATATATTTATATGTTAAATAACCTTCTAGTGCCTTACCTCCGCTTTGAAGAATATTTAAATAGGTTGGAATAACTGTAATATGCATTAAAACTAGCATGAGTTATAGTCTGCCAATAGTTCAGCAAATGGACAGTTTCTTTCAAAATGTTACGTGTTCATGATCAAGTACATAATGATTAAGTAAAGAAAATTTCAACGCCTCTATCCTAGGCTACATTGAAACAGATTTCACCATTCATATGCATGACGCTGACTCTTGTTAAAAGAATGGAGCTACAAGTGCATATTTCGAATTGTGTGAAAAAGTGCCGTCACTGAAGTTTTTGAAAATGATCTAAAAGACTGAGAAATTCATATGAAAGTTCCTTGAGAATTGTTTTAATCAGGACCAAATACTTTTAGTAAAGGCACATTTTACAGAGAGACGAGATTGATAGTGGAGATTTCGGCCTTAGACTGCAGAGCAGAAGCCTTTGCGTGCGTAAGTCTGTATTATATGGATCATCAAATGCGCTTAGTTTACTGCAAAAATCCGGTTGCCATGGCAACCAAAAGAAATAATAAGATTGTTTTAAAATTTAGTCAAGAACCACAAGGCTTAGAACTAGAAGAGTTTGTATATTGTTCAATTATAGACCTGGTCAATATTGACCCCGCCCGGTGCCAGAGATTGGATATTTAGCATGAGACATTGTGTAGTAGACCTCTCCCAATATGTACAAGCTATAGGCCTGGAGCCAAAATTGCTCCAAGACGGGGGTCAGTGTGTTCTTTTGTATACATTTACACATAGTTACTACTTTAAAATTTCTATTTTTGAATATGTTGAAACTTTCAAGGGTTAGATCTTAGATTTTAAGCATGACAAATTGTTTAGCGAACCTCTACAATTTTTTCTCTACTTTTGCTATAGCTCTGAGCTCAAATTTAGCTCTTGTCTGGAAGATTATGGGTTTTCCTTATATACATTAAGTAAATTATTAAATAACCTTTCCTCCAAAAATGTAAGGGTAAAGGCTTAAGAGTTTTGGCCTGAACATTTCAAATAGACAATTACCTAGTTTTTAATATAATAGCTCTGGGTTTTCTTTATATATTTGAAAATGTTTAAAATATTGTTCCTTCAAACACATTGGTAAGAGCTAGGATATTCATCATGAAACAATTATTTTGGGTCTATACAATTTGTTCAAATTTTAGTTAAATGTGGAGTTGAAATCGGCCCCAGGGGTCATTGGTTGTAATTATAATTAGTTATAATTAATATTTTCACAAATTTGTACTGACAATGAAAGGTAAAGGCTTAGGTATTTGACATTAGTATGATAAATACTTTTTTTATTAAATCATGTATAGTAGACAGCAACAAAATTGAACAAAATATATAGCCTTGGGTTGAAATTGTGCTTTGCCCTTGTTTGAGCACGGGGGTCGGGGCTGTCATTATTTTTCCCTATATGCACTATGTAAAGGTTTATTTGTAATTTGACATCCAGCTATATAATTTTTACCATAGATATAGAATTGAACTTTGATATAAGTTGATGTATATATTGACCTAGTGACCTACATGTTAGGGTTTTATTTGATACAGCTATGAATTATTGACCATGTGTACAGTTTAAGATAAAAACAATTCGCTGATAATAGTTGACCTATTTTTTGACATTGGGACCTACCTCCAAATTCACTTAATTCTACTGCATGGTCACGAGGTTTAATTGTTTAGAAACAAAAAGTGAACTAATTCTGTCTTACTACCAGTATTCAATGTAGTATATTGCGGTGGCATAGCAATACTTTCACAAATGCAATCTTGTTTTTTTTCTTAATGGATTGTCTTCATTCTTGAATACTGTTACCCTTTGGCAAGACTTTTCATTATACTAGACTGAAAGTGAGTGTGCTTATTTGATAAATGACCTAGACCTTCAAAGTCAACTGTTTGAAGTTTCCTTGATATTTGCGACAATTGGCTGTTACTTTATTTATGAATGAATTGTCTTCACATGTGACACAACAGTCCTTTTGACAAAACCCTTTAAAAGCAAAATTGATAATTACCTTCTTTTATTAATGACCTTGACACTAAAGGTCAAATTTTTAAATTTTGTTTGACTTTGCTATAGTTGTCTTTAACTTTGTTAATTTTAAATGAATTATCTTCATTAAACACAACTACCTGAAAAAATAATTTAAATCAATGTGAAATTGACTCATCAATAACCTTGACCTTGAAGATCACATTATTGTAATTCAAAGGCTTTTTTTAATTGACAATAACTTCGTACGTAATTAATTGATTATATGTATCTTCATATTTTGGCACAAAAATATTTGCGACAAACTATTAAAGAAGATATAATTGAACTTGACCTTTAATTTGACGTTGGCTTATTCCTATAATTGGCTTTAATGGTCTTATTATTTTTATGCCCCAAGGCATATTGTAATTGAACCGCCCGTCCTTCTTTCCTTACAAGGTTAACCTATTACTGCAAAGTTGATATTTTAGGTCACAAGAGCTAGCTCAGAGTGAGCTTTTAGGATTGTTGAATGTCCGTCGTCTTTCCACAATTGCTTCTGAAAACTTTTGTGGTCACAATTTAACCTCAATAATCTTCAAACTTTGTCAGGATGCTTGTCTAGTTCATAGCGGGGATGCTTTCGAACGTGGATCACCTCAGATGAAAAACTAGGTTGCAGGAGCTTAAAATAGAAAAATCTTGTGAACTCTTTAGTTTGTTCTGTTTTGATCAAAATATCCTGGAAATTGGTCTAAAAGTTTGTTTTAATCATTTCTAGGTCAAGTTTGAATATTGATCACCTAGGGTCAAAAACTAAGTCACACCACCCAAATATGAAAAATTTTGTGAACACTCCAGTGGTCACATTTTTACTCAATTGTCATCAACCTCGTATAGGATGCTTTTCCAAGTTATTGCTCAGATGAGTTCGAACATGGGTCATAGCGGATGAAAAACAAGGTCACAGGAGCTAAAAATAGAAAATATTTTGAACACTGTAGTGGCTATAGTTTTGAACCAAATATTTTGGAAATTGGTCTGAAAGTTTGTTTTGATGATTTCTAGGTCAAGTTCGAATATTGGTCACCTGGGGTTAAAAATTAAGTCTCACCACCCAAATATGTAAGACCCTTGTGAACACTTTAGTGGTCATATCTTCAACTCAATTGTCATCGACCATGGCCAGGATACTTGTCTAGGTAATTTCTGGGATGAGTTTGAACATGGGTCATCTCGGATGATAAACTTGGTCACGGGAGCTAAAACAAAATGATATTGTTCATACTCTAGTGGCTACTGTTTTGATCCAAATATCCTGAAAATTGGTCTGAAAAAATTGTTTTGATGATTTCTAGGTCAGGGTCACCTGGGGTCAAAACTAGGTCACGCCGCCAAAATATGGTAAAAACCTTGTGAACATTCTAGTGGTCACATTTTTGCCTTAATCATCATCAAACTTGGTCAGGATGTTTGTCTAGGTAACTGCTCAAAAGATTTTTAACATTGGTATTCTCGGATGAAAAACTAGGTTACATGAGATGAAAATAGAAAAATATTGTGAACATTCTACTGGCAACTGTTTTTGATCCAAATTTCCTGGATATTGGTCTTAAAGTTTGTTTTGATGATTACTAGGTCAAGTTTGAATATGGGTTACCTGGGGTCAAAAGTAAGGTCACATTTTGAACACTCTAGTGGTCAAATGTTGCATAACACCAAAATTACTTGTAGCAGTAAAACAAAAGCTTATTCTTTTTGTGAACACAACTTTCAGCTTTAGATTTTGGACATGATTGCATCATAGTTTTAATATTTCTGCTGTGTTTTTGGTAGGTCAGTACAGTGTCAGTGTAGAGAATTCTCCTGGAAAATAAAATATGTCTTAAAGAGATTACATTTGTATATTTGTATCCAGTACTTTTATACTTAAAAGATTTGTTTGTATAATCAATATTTTTTTTATTGTATTTTGTAAAAAAATCTCTTAATTTTTCTTCTTTTTTGAATTGGGTTCAAGATTGAAGAAAGCACATTTCAATCATTTTTGGGACACATTGTTGAAACTGATATCTTTTTCAGGTGCATAATTGAATTTTGAGCTGAGCAGTTATTGATATTGTTGAAACCTTTTGGCCTTCTTTTTATTGATGTACAGACTCGTAAATTTGGACCAGAAATGTGATTTCTGATGCCAAATTGAATTTTGATAAGAACTGACCTTCTTTCAATATTAATGATACCGATTTACTTAGTTTCTTGTTTTTTTATGTAAAGACTTGAAATTTGGACCAGGTGTGTAATATTTGATAACGAAGGGTATTTATATATCGGCTGTCCTACGATTGATATTTTTTGATATCGCTTGACCTATTGTTTTTGTTTATCTGATGCAAAAATTGAATTATGATGTCCGGTGACCTTCTTTTGACTTTAATGACATCAATTGACCTATTTTTCTTCCTTTTTGACATATAGACATTGAATTGGACCAAGGGTCTGATGCCGAGTTGAAGAATGACATTATCTGACCTAGTTTTGATATTTTTGATATCATTTGACCTACTTTCTTTTTTTTATATGAAGATTTGAAATTTGGACCATGGGTGAACTTATTTGTGCTTGATTAAACTTTGATATGAGCTGACCTACTTCTGATATTTCGGTTGACCTATGATGAAATGATGGGTCAGGTGAGCGATCTAGGGCCGTCTTGGCCCTATTGTCTTAAGTTTTACCTGTACAAATGGCTTTAACATTTATACACTCACTAATCTATACAAAGTA